ACAAAATTCTAACTGGAGAGCATGATTGATGATCTTGGCTATGGATGCGTCCCATTGGAGAATATGAATAACGATACACCCAGGGGGTGGGGGGAAAACCAGGGTCAAGGGTGACACTGAATGATGTGTCTCAGAGTCGGCTATACCCAGGTAGTGCCAGCGTGTTAACTCCCACTAAATCCTTTTTAAGTTTTGGAAGTTTGGCTTGAGACTCATGATTTAAATGGGGGTAACTGCCAGACTCCTGACACAAAGATGAGGAAGCCCACAATCCAGATGGAAGGATTGACACTGATCAGCTCGTCAGGCAAAGGAGTAAAGGAGGAGAGGCAGCAACCTGAAGAGACTAATACCCTGGTCTCCTCTGAGGAATCAGCCTCATTGGGTTTTTCTGAATTATAATAGGGGAGGCCCAGGGCTGGGACTGACTGCTGAGGTGGGTGAGAACTTGCTCCAGAAAGTCAAACAAGCATTGATGCTCCACCCTTAAATGCACAAATCCTATTCGATCCAGAGATAAATGCAAATGGATTCATCATGGCCTCCAGAGAGCCCAGGTCTTCCCTTCAGCATCTGGATGGAGGGATTCCCAGATGGGTTCAAGGAGGGGAGAAGAGCCCCCTGTCCATCCATGACTGGCAAGAACCTCAAGATGCCCTTCCTCTGCCCTCTCCCTCCCCTTGCATTGAAGATACTCTGATCTCCTCTTTGCAGGTCTCTGAGCCTCCTGATCCAAGGCAGTCACATCCCGAGAGGTACCATAATTTGGCCTTGCAGAATAAGTGTTTGGGGGGGACGGACAGGTAGACTGCTTCCCACAGCCACATTGCCTCCCCCAAATTCTTACCCTTCAGTGTTCATGACAAATAGAAGAGGGCTTTTCAAAGTATTTTCACAATTAACTAGTCATTAGACCTCCCTTCCTCCCTCTCTTCCCATACAGCCTCCACAAGGGCCACTCACCTGTGAAGGGGCCGCTAAATGGTCTGATTGTTCCCTGCATTGGAGAGAAAGACACAGAGTGAGTCTCTTTGTTGTGACCAAGGCTTCCTGAGACAGTTACAATCACACGCTAGTCCCAAAAGCCTTTTGTTGATTTCAACGGCTGTGAATTGTATTCATTCACAGCCCGCAATGAGTCCGAAACTGTTTATGAATATCCAACAGAAGTTTGCCGCACTCTTTTGGGGTAAGGCTGATAAGCAGCCACCTTTATCTCCCTTGAAATGCTGCCAATGACTAAATTGACAATTAGCTGTACAAGGCCAAATGGAGCACAAAGTCAACACGGAGCTTCAGAGTTTAAACCGACCAGAACTAACAAAGTTGCTTCCTGCAAAGGCTCATGTCCCTTTGCTTCTCCTTTATATCTTATGGGGGGGGTCAATCATCTCCAAGCCTTACTTCCCCTTTTGTCTTAACTCTTCTTGCCTTCTGGCAGCTCAGCTTTGCCTTCTTGGTCCTCAGGGAAGCCTCCTGGGTGAAGCAATAAGTAAGCGAGGTGAATCCCAGCACAGCTGATCGTAGGAACAGCTGATTGTTGGGAGGGAAAAAAAAAAAAGAAATACCTTAAGGAGTGACTGGGTGGGTTAGTGTCAGGCAGGCGGAGTGAGCGAGTGACTGGCGACTGGGCAACTGGGTTGGGGACGTAGCCAACCAGAAGTTACTACTGGTTCAGCAACCCATGCCAAATCCTTGCTACCGATTCACCCAAACTTTAAGTGCATACTGGCTGAATACCATCACTGACTGCCAAGCATCCAGATCATGATTATGACACCATGAGGGAAGTTAATAAATTTTGGACAATTGCTGGACTCTATGATCGTTTCTAAGGCTATTGTAATTCCAGACTGTCATTCAATGAGAAGTCATCAGTTGAGGACTATTGGCATCAGCACGCATGACAAGGCAAGGCAAGCCGAGCGACCGGCCAGCCAGCCGTCCCCCGCTTCTCCCCGCCACCTTCAACTCCTCCTTTGTACCTTTGTCAATGGGCTTCGCTTCGGGATGGTCGCTCGGCTCGCCTTGCCTTGGGTGCTGAAAGAATCCTCGTGCCTTAGTTTCTTTTGAAGCCCCCCCCTTCGATGAAACTAAGGCGCGAGGATTCCTTCAGGACCCAAATGCCGCTTTCCAACTGGAAAAGTTCACCCGGAAGCACTTTCTCATCAAACAAGATGGCAGCGCCCAGCAAACCAGTGGCCCGGTAGGAAAAGTTCCACGGACTGGTACCGGTCTGCGGCCTGGTGGTTGGGGACCCTTGTCTTAGCTAGATGGGAAAAGATGGAGAAACTCAGCTCTGACTTTAGATCCCTCCTTCCTTCACTCATCTGTAAACTGAAACACATAAACATATCCAAAGTGTCTCAACCGAACAATGGTCTTAAGGGGAATAGGGAAAGAATTCTTATCATTTATATATCTCCACAGAGAACAAAAGTTCAGCAATTCTTCAGCCAGAAGGCACACTTGCCCTGAGGGTGAAGATGGCTGCCAAGTTTCTTTTTCCAACCAGTTTATATTTGGAGGGACTTGTAGTGGGATGCCAAAGGGAGATCCAGCTGGCCTCCACCAAAGCTCCTTTTTTTTCAACATGCCTCCTTTCGATCATTACTTTTATGGAGCTTCCTGACCACGTTATGGCCAAGGCTTTCCCCTTATGTATTCTTAGAAAGCAGAGCAGCTAATTAGTGAGATGGATCATCCAGTCAGACATTTCTCCTTGGGGTCTCTATCAGTGGTGGGATTCAAAAAATTTTACTACCGGTTTTGTGGGTGTGGCTTGGTGGGTGTGGCAGGGGAAGGATACTGTAAAATGAGAGGTGGTATTTACGGATTCTACACAAAATTTCTGCTACTGGTTCTCCAGAACTGGTCAGAAGCTGCTGAATACAATCTAGAGGGTCAATCTATTTTCTAAAGCGCCTGTAGGCCAGACAAGGAACAAGGGATGGAAACTGAACAAGGAAAGATTTAATCTGGAAATTTTCTGACAGTGAGAACCAAACAACCAATGGAGTTTTGCCTTCAGAAGTTGTGGGAACGTCATTACTGGAAGCTTTCAAGAAGAGACTGGACTGCCATCTGTCAGAAATGGTGTAGGGTCTCCCGTTTGGGCGGGGGGTTGGACTAGATGTCCTATAAGGTCCCTTCCAACTCTGATTATCTGTTATCTATTATCTGTTAATACCACCTCTGGTCTCTGTTAAGTTCGGCAGGTCGGACTCAGAGAGACGAGAGACTCAGATTAAGTGAACAACAGCTCTTTATTTAACAGGCTAGTTCTGAGTAAAAACAGCGCTCATGGCGGCTCTTTTTATAGAGCTAGCCATGGCTAGGCGGCCAATGACATTGCTTTGAGTTTCCCACGATTGGTTTCATCCAATCGCGGTAGACTCCTAGAGAACCAATCACAGCTGTCCTGACTGTCCAATCACATAGCGGTCTTTATGGACCAATGCAGGGTTTCAAGCCTGCTAATATGGAACAGCCTCCATTCCCTAGGACAGCCTGGATGTATTAAAAAAAGGGGGGGGGCACCTTTCTCAGCTCTTGGGAGAAAGACAGAGATAAAACAACTCTGAAGCATCATGTCTTTGGGTACACACAGACACAAACACACAACGGATGCTACCTCTGACCCCAGCTCTGAATGGCAGCTAACATGTGAAGATCACAAATCATCCACTTGCTGCCCTGCAGACTCAGTGGTGGGATTCAAATTGTTTTATCACCGGTTTGGTGGGTGTGGCTTGGTGCGTGTGGCTTGGTGGGCATGGCTTGGTGGGCATGCTTTGCCTAACACCGGCGTGCAGCTTTCCCCACACCAGTTGAGACCTGCAGCACCAATCAGCTGAGAGGATAAAGAAGAGAAAGGCATACGGGGAGCAGGTAGGAAGGGCCGATCCTGCACTTTTCTCTTCTTTTCCTCTCAACTGATTGTCAAGATTTTTTTTCCTCCTCTCAGCTGAGGCTTTTTTTTTTTTTTCGTTACTGGTTTGGCCGAACTGCTCCAAACTAGTAGCATACCAACCACTGTTGTAGACGTACAGTTGAGTCAAGAGTGAAGTCCCAAAAGAGGCCAGATCTCAGATGCTCCCAAAAGGGCTGGGAAAACATGGGAGAATGAAACCCAGAAGAAGCTCCCGAAAGGGAGAGGAGGATTTCTCCATCTTCCTTCAATCATCAAAAAGAATATCAAAGCCCCAGCAATAACACACCACAGGACAAGACTAGCCACAGTGCAGCCGATGATGAGCCTCATCTGGTTGGATTCTGGAACAGAATTGAGGCGAACCCCAAACAATCCTTCCAATTAAAGGAGAGACTTAATGCAGCCAAACCGCAGGGAATTCCTCAAATTAAAAAGTGTGAGGGCCTCCTCATTACATCCCTGTAAAGGTACCATGAAGACACCTGGCTAGCCAAGGTGTCAATAAATTTACATAAATAAACTGATTGTTTTAATAAATCCCTGATCATGAAATACGCTTCTTTCCTTGGAGAAGCAATTTGTCCTTTACAGGAGGAAAACCAGGGGTGGGATTCTACCGGTTCGGACAGGTTCTATAGAACCGGTTGTTATGATTCTGCACGGTTCGGAGAACTGGCAAATGGTGACCCTGGCTGGCCCCGCCCCCCCCCGTCCCCCCCCCCCCCCCCCCGCCCGTCAGTCCTTATCGCGCTTGCGCAACATCGTGCACATGCCCAACGTCGCTGACTGCATTTACCCTGCCCAGTCACTCCTTAAGGTATTTCTTTTTTTCCCCTCCCAACAATCAGCTGTTCTGATGATCAGCTGTGCCAGGATCTCCCTCGCTGCCTTACTGCTTTGCCCAGGAGGTTTCCCTGAGACCTAGGAGACAAAAAAACTGAGAGTGGTAGCTCTCCTTTCTGTATTTTATGAAGTCCACTGCTGTTCACCAATTTGAATAAAAATTCAGAATTCAGAAACGGGATCGTGAAACTCCTCCTAATTTTTGTACTTTAGGAATTCTAACCAAAGAAAAATCTCTTTCGGGGGCTCAGCTTAACGGCTGTTCCTTTGCTGGAGGCAGGAAAGAGGGGGTGGACAGAGGCTAAGAGAGGGTCTATAAGGGGATTTCATCAAGATTGGTCAACTGTTATGATGGGATTTGTTGCTTCCTTTAAATTACCTGAGGCCTATTCTATGGACTGGTCCCTGCAAGTCTACATACTTCAACAGTGGGAAAAACAATGGATTAAATTTCAGGCAGGGTCACATCTAGATACAGCTGGGGTCAAATTTTTCTCCCACAATCCTCCAGCCTGCCAAAGAACCCAGCCTTTCTCACCCTGCTGCCCCTCATCCTTCAAAGCCACGTCCAGAGGTTCCTGCAGGCCGTCGTGCTCCACGTGGCATTTATAGCGTCCCCTCTCTTTAGGATCAATCTGGATGCTGAGCCAGTAGTGGTAGGTGGCATCCGCGTTGGGGGCCACAGATCCATGGAGGGTGTCCTGCAGCCAGACCTCCCCGTCCCTCATCCAGGAGGCATTGACCACCCTGGGATAAAAGCCGTGGACCCGACAAATGTGTGTTTCCTTCTCATCTTCGGCCTCCACCCTTCTGGTCACTGTCACCACTGGAGGATCTGCAGAAACAACATCACTAGAATTAACTCTGAGCCTCTTCAGAGGGTGGAACGTGGATGAGAAACTTGAAGGAGCAGACAACTCTCCCAGTACTTGGTCGTACTCAAGGATTTAGCACACTATAACTGTAGCATCCCGAAAGTTTTAGGAAATACTCCAAATCTGGAAAACGTTCAACCACAAGGACTCCTGATTATGAGTCCTTTCCAGGGACTCAGCTTGAAAAACCTCCAGCAGCAAATTGACGGTATAAAGAAATTCCACTCGGATTGCTTGGAACTCTGAGTGATGTTGGAGTGCTCCCTTCAGCGGAAGAATAGAATCACCTACAAGCCTTATTCCCAAGTCGCCCCTTTTGTTTTAGCTGCTCTTGCCTTCTGGCAGCTCTGCACATACACACGCTGGGAATAGGCTCCCCCTGTTCCTCTGCCTCGCTGCTGTCAGATTCTGGAGGCTCCGGGGTCAGCATGTAATTCCCAGATGGCCCTGGCCCCATCTCTGTATCAGATGCAGATCCCTCGTCCAAGGCCTCCCCAGACTGGCCCATGTTCCTCCCCACTGTTCAACTCTGCTGCCTGCTGCTCCGCAGGCTGCTGACGGACCACAACACTAATGGTGGTTCCACTGAATAGCCCCATGTTGCTTCATCATGAGCTGTGAAGAGGACATCCCCTAAGTGCTTTTGCGGCCTGATCCACACAGAGACCCACCAGGCAGAGACTGCATTTCATGCTCTGTTGAATGGCTTCCTGTGTCCTGGGGGGGTGGAAGGGTTGCTTTCTGGACAGCCAAGCTGCAGACCAGGGGCCCAAAACAGATCAGAAAGGAGGAAAGTCCAGCCTGGATCCAGATACTCACCTGTCCTCAGCAGCGTCTCATTCCCGTAAGACAGGAACTTCTCTAGCAAAGCAATGCATTCCTCCATTTCAGACTTATCCATGGTGGATGGTGGTGTCATAGACTCCCCATTATAAGCCACCTGCACAAACCCTCTTTTGCTCCCATCTCCCTGGAGATCACAGCTTAGGATGACCTGCACCACATGAAGGTCTGAAAGAAAGGAAGGATTATGGTTTGAGGTATCCTCAGAAGAGACAGACAATGACATTCTTGCAGGGACTTTGACTCAGGGAGGAGCCAACAAGAAAAGGAACAAATGACTGGAAGATGAAAGCAATGCATTTTGCCCCATGAAATTCCTCAGGCCCTTTGGATGAGACATTGAGTCTCCCCATTCATCCTGCACCCCTAATCACGCTCTCCAAACATTCTCCCTCCCCATTTTCCTCCATCTTCTCCCACCAAGCGCGCCCACCAAGTCACGCCCACTGAACTGGTGGTAAACTATTTTGAAACACACCACTGGCGGAAAGCAACAGAAGTCCCTACCACCAGGAGCCTCTTCGTGGACGTGTGTGGAAGCCACAAGATACTGGACAAAAATTCATCCATGGTTGGAAAAAATGACAAAACAACATATAGACTTGAAACCTGAAATATTTTTATTGGGTATCTTGCCTGAAGGATAAAGTAGAGAATTGATATATTTGATTATTAATGTTCCGACAGCTGGTAGAATTGTATTTGCGCAAAACTAGAAAAATGAAAAAAAAATCCAATAGAAGAGGAGATGATAAAGAAAATAATGGAATGTGCAGAAATGAGTAGATTGACATTTGCTATTACAGAACAAGAATAAAATTAGGAATTTATTCTGTCACTGGCTAGGTAAGAAAAAAGAGAAATAAAATACACTATAGTTGTCAGATCCGTGTATCTGCCATTCTTCATGGAAGAAGGGGTGGGGGGAGTTGGTATAAGAAACCTCTTTTGATGTAACATGGATATATTATATTAAATTTGGATAATCCATGATATACTGTTGTGGCTCAGAGGTTTGAGCCTGCTTTATTAGAGGACAAAGACTCGGACAGTGGGGAAGAGGAGGTGTTGGAAATGTCTTCTTCCCCAGGACCTTTCTCTTCGGCAATGCCTTCCTCCCTGATTGTGCCTCAGGTGTCGGCAGATAACCAGGAGGGAAGACCTGAGGCTGATCAGGAAAAGGAAGAGGGCGTATTAGAGTCTCTGACTAAGAAATCACGCAGAGGAATGCTGGCTTGATGCGAGGCAGCGGCGTAGGCAAAAGTGCGAGCTGCAACGCAGAAAGAAAGAAGGGACGAATCAGAGACTGAGATGAGGGACTGACATGCCCCACAGGGAATAAAAGTGGGGTTATTCGCTCTGGGAACTTGTTCTGGACAACGTGTTAATTTGTGAGAGAAGCTTCAAAAGATTATGTGTGTGGCGACAGCTTGTGATTTATGTTCTTGCTTTATTATCGGACTTGGCAGACAGCTTGTGTGTGACTGCAAAGAACTTTCCCAGCTCAAGGAATTTAACCCTGTCATTACTGGACTTGTTTGCTTGTTTATATTCATTTGGAAATTTGGATTTCTCACCTCATTGGCACAGGTGAGACATAGCAATATACTATGGAGGGACGGAAACCAGACGCCCGGAAACCTGTCACCTCTGAAAGAGACAGCCACAGGATGAAGAGACCATAAAAATACCTGCTGGGAGATGTTACCTGGGAACCTCAAAAAAGATTGTTCTCAGAAGATGGGGGGGGGGTGCGGGGAGTAAACCTGTCGGCTCTTTGTTTTGCTAAATACACATCAAGAGAAGGGGAAGGGTCTTAAACTCCCTTATCTGTCCCTGCATGCCTGAGGCACGTTAGATGCTGCTTTTAATCCCTACATGAATTGTCTCATCTCAATGAAGGATTCCTTTTGATACGTTTGGTTTTCAGAAGTTCATTCTTGTTGACTGAATGGGAAAAGTTCTGTTACCTGACAATAGTATTAATACAATATAATAGTAAAGATAATATAATGTAATGATAGGTTATAATTGTTTATTGTGAAATGAATGAACCAGGTTTTGTAAAAGTTGAGGCTTGCTTGAAAAGGATGATGTGAATTTGTAATCATAGTCTAAGAATGATTTGATAATAATATAATATCAAGTGGACAGTAGCTTTATATATTATGAAATGTAACATAAAACTAAAAGGGAATGACTGTTGATATTGTGCACAAAAGATATGTACCAACTGACACGCTGTACAATGGAAAGAAGATTTTATTTCATTTTTGTGTTTTGGTGTTTGTTTATGTTTGTTGTTAAAAATAAAAAAAATTACAAAAAAAGAAGAAAAAGAAGCACCTGCCTTCAAGGATGGAGTGGGGAAAGCTAGCATTCCCTCTCCACAGCAGTGTGGAGTTCACTCTCTTTCCTCCTCTTTACCTTGTTTTACATCACTCCGATGTTATACGGTTTTGGGTTTTTATTTTTATTTTAACATGTTTAATTTACTTATTTTTCACATTTTTTTTTTGAAAACAATTTTATTGGTTTTTAAAGACAAACAAAAACATTGTATTTCAAATCTTTACTATATGTGTCAGGTAAAATTCCCAATAAAAAAAATCTCTGGTTTCAAGTCTATGTGTTTCTTTGTCATTTTTTTCCAACCACATGCGAATTTCAGTCCAATATTTTCTAGCGTCCTCACAAGTCCACCACATATGGTAATATGAGCCAGGTATCTGATGACATTTCCAACATTTTTCGAATTTATTCTTGAACATTCTTGCTATTCTTGTTGGGGGAAAATGTCACCTGTAAAACACCTTATACAAATTTTCTTTATAAGCTGTTGACATTGTCATTTTATAATTTTGAGACCACAATTTTTCCCAATTCTCCAAATCAATCCCATATCCAAAATTCTTCCCCCAAGCAATCATAGTTTCTTTAACTTGTTCTTCCTCTAGTTTAATTTCCAATAAATAAACCATATAATTTTTTAATCACCTTTTCATCAGTACCTGTCAAAATCTTATCTAAATCAGTCAATTTATCATAAAATCCTTCTGTTTTAAAATCTTCATCATACCTTGAATGTATTTGCGCATATGAAAATTCATCTTTATACCTGATAATTTTTAAAGCAATAAACATATTTTTCAGAACAAAAATCTTTTCAAAAGTTAGGAAACAGCCTTTAACCCGGGAGGGACCCCCATTTCTTTTTTCTCTAGAACCCATCACTCACCTTCGCTATGACTGGAGAAAATCCTCACAAACTCCAGGCCATTTACGAACATCTTCTCAACCTCATGTGCTTCCTTGAACACTTTGTCCCAGAATTCCGGGTCATCCTCCTTCAACTTCTCTATCCAGGAGACGCGAGGCTGCATCTTCCCGGTCTCGCGGTCATAGTGAAGAAGGACATGATCATCCACGTCCACCAGCATCACAAAGTGAGGCAGCCCCTGACTGGGCTCCGAAATAGTGAAGGAGGTAAACTTCAAAGAGTGTGAGAAGGAGCCTTCAAAGAACCCAGAGGAAGAGAGTCAGGGGGCTTCAGCTGAAGAACCCCGAACCAGTGGTGGGATTCAATTTTTTTTTACTACCAGTGCTGTAGGTGTGGCTTGGTGGGCGTGGCTTGGTGGGCGTGGCAGGGGAAGGATACTGCAAAACCTCTGACTGGCCCCGCCCCCATCTCTTCTCTGCCTCCCATCAAGTCCCAGCTGATCGGCTGGGTCTTCTTGTGTTGCCCTGCACAGGAGAACGGAGCTGGAAAGCAGGTTAGTGGTGTAGGGAGGGAATGGGGATTTTGCAGTATCTTTCCCCTGCCACGCCCACCAAGACAGGTCACGCCCACCAAGCCACGCCCACAGAACAGGTAGTAAAAAAGTTTGAATCCTACCACTGCCCTGGTTTAAATATAGAGTTGTACATAGGGCTGGGCTTTTGAACGGGATCAGGAAAGGAGCATGAAATCTTCAAAAGCTGTCAGCGATCTGCTCCTGCTTTGCTGAACTCACCGGCTGTTTGCATGTCCTCCTCACTAGATGCATATACTATTTTCATTTTAAAAAAATTGATCTAAGATAAACCCTAGAGCCAGAAACAACTAGCACGCATGTGCGAGGGGAACCTTTACTTCTATATTTGATAAATACAAATATTTTTTTTCCAGATACGGAGCACTGGCTACATAAGGTATAACCGGAGATAGCACGGACAGTCCTTAACTTATGACAGCACGTGAGTTAGCTGAGACATTTGTTAAGTGAGTTTTGCCCCATTTTGCAACCTTTCTTGCCGCAGTTGTTAAAAGGGAATCGCTGCAGTTGTTCATTAGTGACCCGATTATTAAATGAATCTGGCTTCCCCCACGGAGTTTGCTCGTCCAAAGGGGACACTGCAACCGTCACAAATGTGAGTCCGTGGCCAAGCAAACAGTATCCTTCCCCTGCCATGCCCACCAAGCCCACAGAACCAGTAGTAAAAAGTTTTGAATCCCACACTGCTGGTCCTCCAAACTACTCCAAATTTCCGCTACCGGTTCTCCAGAACGGGTCAGAACTTGCTAAAGACCATCTCTGGGAGAGACCCATTTGTGCTTTGAGACCCGTTCTGAAATTAGCCATTGGAGCAGGGGTGCGGACTAGAAGGAGGACTGAATCAGGATTCTCCTTCTGGGAGACAAAGGATGTCACATGCGCGTACACACACACACACACAGAGATATTCAGGAGTCTCCAACCCTGGCCACTTTAAGACCTGTGGACTTCAACTCCCAGAATTCCTCAGCCAGCAAAGCCGGCTGAGGAATTCTGGGAATTGAAGTCCACAAGTCTTAAAGTAGCCAAGGTTGGAGACCCCTGCCCTGGATGGATTCGCAACAGCAGAAAACGGGGCTGGATCCTTCACCTCCTTGAAGTGGGACTCACCGCAGCTGCTCTCCGGAAAGGCGACCGCCAGCCACACCAGACTCAACAGGGGAGAAGAGCGCAGAGCCATCCTGCCCGCCATCCTCCACCTGCGCTCCGCTCTCCCGAAGTCAAAGAAAGACGCGCCTTCCCGCTGATTAACAGCGCAAGAATCCAGAGCGAGCCGGTGATTGGCCAAGCTCACCCAATGGCGGGGGGCGGGCGGAGGGGGGAGCCTCCTTATGTCGTCACTGGTTGCTAGGCAGATGTCCGAGCAAAACAGGCAAGAAAGGGGAAGCGAAAGTTTTGTCCGGGTCAGGCGCTCGAGAACATCTGTTTCCAGGATCTCTTCCTCCTCTTGGAAGGAGGAGGCAGAGCGGGAGAGTTATTTAAATGCAAGCGGGGGGGGGGGGGGGGGGCCCCCCTTTCAGACCCCTCACGGCACCTCGCAGTCGAGGAGCCGTGAGAAACCACAAGGGATCTTTTTTGCTTTGCATGAAAACGCTCCAAAGGCTCTCGGGGCATCTTGAAAACAAACACACACCAAATACAGTCCATTCATTCCTTTATTTCTCAACAAAGATACGAATTGATTAGGAAGCTTCAAAGCACTTGGGTTTTCTGGGAATAAATTAAGATGCTGCTCCCTCCTTTGGTACTTCTTCTAGGGCAAGGGTCTTCAAACTTGACAGCTTTAAGACTTGTATCTAACAAAATGAAATTCAATGTAAAGAAAAAGTCCTACACTTAGGCAAGCAACCGAGTGGTCAATGTCTGGAATACTCTACCTGAATCTGTGGTTTCTTCCCCAAACCCCCAAAACTTTAACCTTAGACTGTCTACTATTGACCTCAACCCAACATGCCTACCCTCCCTGTCCTATTGTTTCTTTCTTTTTCTCATATGTATCCATTTCATGTATTCATAACTACACTGCTCAAAAAAATAAAGGGAACGCTTAAACAACACAATGTAACTCGGAGTCAATCACACTTCTGTGAAATCAAACTGTCCACTTAGGTAGCAACACTGATTGACAATCAATTTTACATGCTGTTGTGCAAATGGAAGAGTCAACAGGTGGAAAGCAGAGGCAGTTAGCAAGACATCCCCAATAAAGGAGTGGTTCTGCAGGTGGTGATCACAGACCACTTCTCAGTTCCTATGCTTTCTGGCTGATGGTTTGGTCACTTTTGAATGCTGGTGGTGCTTTCACTCTAGTGGTAGCATGAGATGGAGTCTACAACCCACACAAGTGGCTCAGGTAATGCAGCTCATCCAGGATGGCACATCAATGCAAGCTGTGGCAAGAAGTTTTACTGTGTCTGTCAGCATAGTGTCCAGAGCATGGAGGTGCTACCAGGAGACAGGCCAGTACATTAAGAGATGTGGAGGAGGTCGTAGGAGGGCAACAACCCAGCATCAGGACCGCTACCTCTGCCTTTGTGCAAGGAGGGACAGGAGGAGCACTGCCAGAGCTCTGCAAAATGACCTCCAGCGGGTCACAAATGTGCATGTGGCTGCTCAAATGGTCAGAAACGGATTCCATGAGGGTGATATGAGGGCCCAACGTCCACAGGTGGGGGCTGTGCTTACAGCCCAACACCGTGCAGGACATTTGGCATTTGCCAGAGAACACCAAGATTGGAAAATTCGCCACTGGTGCCCTGTGCTCTTCACAGATGAAAGCAGGTTCACACTGAGCACATGTGACAGACGTGACAGGTCTGGAGACGCCATGGAGAACCTTCTGCTGCCTGCAATATCCTCCAGCATGACCGGTTTGGCCGACTCTGAGACACATCATTCATTGTCACCTTTGACCCAGGTCCCGCCCCCCCCCGGGTGTATCATAATTCATATTCTCCAATGGGACACATCCATAGCCAAGAGTAATCAATCATGCTCTCCAGTTAGATATTTGCATGACAGAAACTTCAATCACCTAGTTATTATCTTTGAAAATATGTACGGAATGCAGTTTTGGTTTGCAAGCTGTCGCACTGCTCCCCACTCCCTTTCTGTTGACAACCCTAAAAAGTCCATGGAACTATTTTATGAGTTGACACACATGGACTCAGTAGTCCATATTTTCCAGGCCATCTGCTGAACATGTTTACTTTGTTGAAAGACTTCAGTATCATGTGGTGGTTGCTGGTTAGAACCAGGACTGTCCTTCTGCAAGCTAAGGGCCCCTGGCTAAATTTCATCTCTTCAGAGTCAATATTTTCTCCTTCCAGTCCTCTCACATCAACCTTCTAAGGTTCGCCAGCTGGTTGACAGTGGCTGAAACCTTCTGCTGGGCAAAACAGGTAAGTAATAATTTGTCTGGAAGTTCCTCCAAGGCAGCTTGTGGAGGCTCGGGGAGGGCCCAAAACGGGCCTCCTGAAAGTTCCGGAAGGCCAGAAACAGGCCCGTTTCTGGCCTCCAGAGGGCGTCCAGAGCCTGGGGGAGGCCGTTTTCGCTCTCCCAGAGGCTTGAGGAAATCCTGGGAAGCCTGGGGAGGGCAAAAACAGCCCCTCCCCCATGGTGCAGGAGGCCAATTAGGCCCCGCCCACCCAGCAACCGGGCAGAGAACCTGTTGAAGCCCACCCTTGACACAAACCTCTCCCGTGGATGCTTCGTGTTAAGTTGCATCTTTGAGGTCCGTTCAACTGACTGTCAGGACAATGATGGAAAAGTTATTTCAACTGTTTCAAAACTCTCAGTGCATTTGGTACATTGCCGTTCCTGGGTTAATCCTTAGTTTGGGAAAATAATAAATCTGGTTTCCTAAAACCAGGGAACTCTTTTTTTTTTTTTTTTTTTGAGACAGGTAAAAGCGGGGCCTTGTTTTTAATTCCCACCTCCCCATCTTGGTCAGCTTTCTGCCATGTCAGCTTTTAGATCAAACTCTGAAACTTCACAGGAAGTCCTTCAAATGTGTTTGTGTCATCAGCCTGAGGACTCCAGGGCACTGGTTAATTATCAAGGTGGAATTATTATTAAAATATCTTTGCCTACCATATCTTCTTTCTAAAAAATCATTTAAATGTTTGAATCATGATTACAATATGGATTGTTTTACTATTTACCAACTATCTCTTTTTAGCTTTGCTGCTTGTTGCTCAGAACAACTTGTGATATGGGCGGCTAACTGTTGATAAACAACAATAACCACAAAAAAAAAGAACTAAATTTGGTGATTTCCAAAAAGGAAGTGAAAGTGTTTGCTTTCAGTGGACAATGAAATTCAATGTAGAGAAAAGTGAAGTCCTACACTTAGGCAAGAAAAAACAAAAATATACATATAGACTGCATGAAACTAAGCTTAATAGCAGTAACTGTGAGAGGGATCTCGGAGTCTTAGTGGACAACCAGCTAAATAGGAGCCAGCTGTGTGCAGCAGCAGCCAAAAAAGCTAATGCAATCCTAAATTGTATTAACAGAGGGATAAAGTCAAGATCAAGGGAAGTACTAATACTACTCTATAAAGCCTTAATAAGAGCACACCAAGAGTACTGCATCCAGTTTTGTTCACCACATTATAAAAAAGATGTTGAGACTCTAGAAAAGATACAGAGAAGAGCAACTAGGATGATTAGGGGACTGGAAGCTAAAAAATATGAAGAATGGTTACAGGAACTGGGCCTGGCTAGTCGTGAAGAGAAGGACCAGAGGAGACATGATAGCAATCTTCCAATATTTGAGGGGCTACCACAGAGGGGAAGGAGTCAAACTATTTTCTAAAGTGCCTGTAGGCCAGACAAGGAATTATGGATGGAGATTGAACAAGGAGAGATTTAACCTGGAAATAAGGAGAAACTTTCTGACAGTGAGAACAATCAACTCATGGAACAGAAGTTGCCCTAGGAAGTTGTGGGAGCGCCATCAGTTAAGACTTTCAAGAAGAGATTGGACTGGCATCTTTCAGAAATGGTGTAAGGTCTTCCACTTGGGTGGAGGGTTGGACGAGATGACCTACAAGGTCCCTTCCAACTTCGTTTATCTGTTATCTGACAAAAGCAACTCCTATCACCAACGCAATGTAAAGCAAAGGGAGGACTTGAAACCATCCTGAATTGAAAGAGCAGTTTCCTGTGAAGGATCGGTGGGGTGACGGCTGGACAGAAGTCTTATTGGTCTCTCAAATGGTATTTGGGGGGGGGTTGTCTCCATAATTCAGCCTCCTCCTTTTTAAAGGCTGCTTTTCTTTTCTGAGCCTGGACAGTTTTTCTGACTACTTCTCCAAACTGGGGAGTTTCCGAGGTGAGGCGAGGTGAGGCAAGGTCAGGTTAAACCTGGCCCCAAATCCTTCCAGGTGCCCTTCTTCAAACAGAAGTCCAAGGTGTGAGGACAGCATGTTTATTAGCGAGGGTCCAACTCCAAAACCATCAAAAGTCCATTGCAACAACTTCTTTTGTCTGGAGAAAAAGTGGGGTGATTTGCAAGAAGAGTTTCTGGCTAGGATCCAGGAGCCCCATTTGGGTTGTACTGCAGTGCCTCCTGCTGCCCCTGCGAGAGCCTAAAGCACTTCTTTTCCCCTGCCTGATATTCCCCGCAAAAGGTGCATCTCATTCCTGGAGCGCCATATCCACTTCTCCTCCCTGCTCTCAGACATGCTTTCTTTGCAGATGGAGCGGGTTTTTTTTCTCCAGCAGGCCATTTGACTGCAGAGAACACCCTCCAGATTTAGAGGATAGCTTAGATGGCCTGCAAACAGGATGATGCAAGTTGAAGTCTACCCCCTTTCCTCGAAAATACAACCTACTCTGAAAGTAAGTCCTAGCTTGATTTTTACACATGCGCCCAATATCAACCCTACCCCCCAAATAAGCCCTGATTAAGATCCAGCCCACTCCAGAGTACATGGGTAAAAATTAAGCTAGGGTGGGGATGGGTGGTGGAACTGCCCTATTATTTATCTTTGGACAATTGTAGCCAGGCCTCACACACCTGCCTTGGGGCCCATTTCTTCTGCAGACGGCAAGGCTTTCCTGAAGGATCGACCCAGAGCTCTGTTATCAGTTGCAGAGGCCTTAAGGAAAGCCTTGCTGGCCACAGAAGTTCCTGAAGGCCTCTGACAGTGAAAAGAAGGCTGGGGGTGATGCGGTTGGTCAATGGATGACATCCCCCACAAAATGAGACCTGGT